GGAGGTTAGTTACCTCACAGGAGGTTAGTTACCTCACAGGAGGTTAGTTACCTCACAGGAGGTTAGTTACCTCACAGGAGGTTAGTTACCTCACAAGAGGTTAGTTACCTCACAGGAGGTTAGTTGCCACACAGGAGGTTAGTTACATCAGAGGTTCAGGTAAGCTATAGCCTCATAAATCAGCAACAATTTAGCATGAGCGATACGATGAAGTGACCGAGACGCGACTGAAGAACGTCACGATAATTATGGTAATAATTTAACGTTACGAACAAGTAATTTAAACGACCAGGTAACAGTGTATTAATTATTCACGAATAAATTCTCGAGGCGTTGTGTTTCTTTCCCTCTCAGTGACGTATAAGTTCCCGTGAATGCCACTAATAACTTATAATGACCACTATAAAAATATCCTCCGCTTCAATGATGGCAAGAAAATAAATCTCAAGAATTAAGTTCATCACAAATCATATAATTTTTTTCCAAAGAATATCAATCAGTTATTAATTACCGGCAAAATTGCTTGGAACAATACCCGAAGTTTTAGAATCCCGTCATTACATAAGGAATACCTCCAATAATAATAAATCGTGTGTATTCCCATTCGATAAAGACCCCTTCAAACCCTTAATTGTACATAGGAGTAAAAACTTTCCATTCAAAGTATGGATAAAAATTCTTTTTATTATAATTTATATTATAATATATAATTAATATTAGTTATATTATAATATATAATTTATATTATAATGTATGTATACTGATGGCAAATTAAATTTCAATACTTGCTCTTCACAGTTCCTCCTCCTTTTATACTAAAACTTCTAATTTTCCCATCAAGAATAGAATTTCATGATCAGTTTATATCCGCGCTTAATAGCCTCTATATATTTGCGATGCCAGGCCTACAACACACACGGACAAACGTCGATATATATTTATATAAAGATAACTTCTTTGAAAATCCCGTCAGAGTCTTTGGCTGTGTTTCATTATCCTATTAATTATTGATACTCATCATATTTGAGGGATTATATACAAATATATGGGCGGCTTATAAATAAATATGCCGCCCACTATACTGAAGCGCCCTATATAGGACACGCACTGTATAAGGCGCTCGGCACGAGGTCAGGCGCAGGCGTCAGCCCTTAATTCGTCATCGCCTGGCGCCTGATGCTACTTATATATGTTATGTTCTACGGAAAAGATCAAAGCTTACACCTATAATTCGTTATTTGAACGTACAAATACCAATTTTTTCGATTTATTGTTCGGGGTAATTTGAATTTTGGTTGTAGCCATTCGTTGGCCTTCCATTAATTGGTCAGCTAAAATCTGCTCGTTCATGTTTATTGACGAAAATATTGAGGTGCGATCGCGAGATTGTGGGTGTAATTTGCGATGGATGGTGCAAATCAATTGAAGAAAACACCGCCGCAAAACTCAGAATCTGGCTGAACTTTAACGGACCCAGTACGCAATTATATCAAATTTGCTCAATAAGTGCTAGGGCAGTGATTAATTAAACGTAATTCAGTAACAATGTTATAAAATCATTCTGAAAATGTCACTAAGGAAATTCATTAACCCACACCTTAACTTCATCATGGATAAAAGAGCCTAATTTCTGTGGTATCGCAGCCTATCCCACATGGTAATAATCCACATACGGATTATTCCCAAAAATTAAACAAATATAGCTTGTAGTAAAAGTTAGATATTCTCGAGAATAAAACTATTATTTGTTCAAACCTCTCGTGATGTGCAATTCTTTGTCAAAAAATTTATATACGTTAATTTTCAATAACCAAATAAATCATTATTATTCGTTTTCGCAAATTAATTTTCGAAGTTATTTCATGTAACTGACTGAACTGAATTAAATAACAAATATTGTGAAATCAAACTCGTTTATTTTTTCAAATTTATTTATTTATTGAACACAAATGTTGGTTAAATAGGTTACGGTATATGTCATTGTTGTAATTGATAAATATGTTTACATAAAAGTTTTAATCTTTCAATGACGGAATTTATTCAGATTCACTAAAGCCTTCAAAACGAAATCAAAATTGCAGAAGTAATCAAGCCCAATACAAAGTTTAAAACACAAAGTCTATAAAAATTTCAGTAAAGTCTCTCATGGCTATCGTAGTCTGCCTCCGAAGGTAGCACAGAAAACGGTTCAGCTAAGAAAACATTCGATGGTATACATTTATATTTAAGCACCGTCGATAAATTAGAGCTGTAGGTTTTCCCCACTTTATTATATAGCATCACGCATACAGAAAATATTCTCTAGACATTTCAAGAGTATTTCCTGAATTAAACTATTTTATTTTTTTTACGCGTTTTTGAATTTTAAAAATAGTTCTGAAAGTCACTAAAATCGGAGTTTCTGATAAGCGGAGTTTCTTATAAGCGGAGTTTCTTATAAGCGGAGTTTCTGATAAACGAAGTTTCATATAAGCGAAGTTTCATATAAGCGAAGTTTCATATAAGCGGAGTTTCTGATAAACGAAGTTTCATATAAGCGGATTTTATTAAAAGCTTATAGTGCCTTACACGCAAAGCTAACCGTTTATTCTCTACACGCGTAAAATGTAAGGTCAAGAAAAGAAAAAATATAATTATTCTACGAACGTTATATAATGCACATTACATCTTGAAATTGATCATAACTACTGGTATATAATGCGTACACGTACGTAACATGTCCAGAATAGGACAGAATCACTTCACAGCACGAGAAGAAGTGCACAATTTGCGATTTTGAAATAAAAACAACAATTTTGGATAAATAAAAATATTAATTATTTCAGCACACGGCGACAAGTAGAGTACGCCTGACTCTTGGATAGGTCATTATATTTATGGAATGAAAATATGCTCTCACTAATATATGCTAATATATTTGTGTAGGTATGCTAATCTATTTTTGTAGGTATGCTAATATACTTATGTAGGTCTGCTAACATACTTATGTAGGTATAATCTTTGGATATGCGAAGACTTTAACCGACTACGTCAGGTACAGCCGACAAGTAGGCATATATATGCGAGTTTGCCCTCGAATTCGCGGGCTTACCCTGAATCAGGCGAGTTTGCCCTTAAATATTCGGGTTGCCCCTGGACCATTCAGTTTTTTGCAGAAACTACAGAAACAAGTCAATAAAATGATTCAAATGAAATGCATGTAAGAGGGTTAAATCAATCACACAGTCAAAAAATATAAAGATAATGAACACAGGACACTATCTAATCATGCAAAATCAACGGGTGTTCAACACTTTATAATCATGCAAAATCACCGTTATCGTCAAAGAATTGCAATCAACCTCAAGCGCATGGTTACAATTCATCGTTACAGCATTTCAAACAAAATATTTAGAAGGATTTTCGGTACAATATTTTTCAAAAAATTTATGAATGAAAGTTACTAAAAATCCCATAATAAATCGTTCATCATTAGATATTCATTGCACAAGTCTTTTCCATCGGAATAACCGTGAATCACTTTATTTTGAGCTTCACAAAATCATAATTCTGAATCACACTCAAGGGATTTTGGATCACAGTGCCCAGGTATACCCGGATACCAGGTACGGTATCCCCAAGGAGTTGCAGGCATCATGCAGTTGAGGTATCCAGTTTTTGGTTACCCTGTAAACCTCGGTTGGTAATCCCGGTATTGGGGTTACCCGCGCCGGGTTACTGACCGGGGTGTGCCTGAGGATGGGCCTACAGCGCATCAGCCAACGCAGATAACACAACAGAAATAAATAACACATCATAACTAAATAAATTTTAAGCGTCACAGTCACTTAAGTCGCCACTCAACAAATAATGCATTTAACTCGCCACTCGTCGACAAAACATATAATGCTGGGACCATATCTTTCAAAACTCGCTAAGTGAATTAACGTAAGTACTTATACGCTCTATTTTCTTGTCTATGATTGGTGGATTTTACTTGAAAGGCCGTCAATGATTGGCTGATGAACTTACGATCTCTTAACTTTTTTGAAAGTATAGGCCCTGGTCTGGAAAACTAAGCAGACCAAGCGTTCTTTACAATTACAGATATACGATTGTTATGGTTGGATTACATCATAATAACCACGCTGTTGACATGATCTTGGTTCAAAGTTGTGGTTCAGTTATGTTTAATAAAATAGCATGGCTAGTAAAGGCCGGCGACTTTAGTGACATTGACGGTGATTTTATACGCACATCAAAAAAAAAAAATAAGCAAATCAAAGTTGAACGAAATTTAACATAAATTATCCATACAATAACTAAATTTTCACTGTTAACATAAATCACTGGACTATAATGCACAAGCAGTATCTTAATAACATGTATAGGCAACATGCACATTACACATGGCGAAAACATTGAACATTAATGCAGAAAAAATGCATTGATTAATGCATTAATGCAGAAAGACAGTTAACATAAGACATTGACATAGGCTGGCTACACCATAAATCCACTACATATGTTGCATCAGAGCGTCTGATAGGTTGCGGGTTGCCTATTACCACTACCTACTATCGCGCTTTGTATCGCAGCCTGTGATTGATCAGCTACATCTAATAACCTAACAGTCCTCTCTGTCGTACCAACGATTGGCATAGACTACCTCTAATAACCTGAGTCTTTTCTGTCGCAACCTACAATTGGCAAGCTACCTCTAATAACCTAACAGTCCTTTGTGTCGCAACCTACGATTGGTAGACTACCATCCCTACCCAAGTACCCAAGTCGTCCTTTGTGTAGCAGCAGTCGATTGATCGTCTACCACCTCTACCCTAGCCGTCCTTTGTGTCGCAACCTGCGATTGGTCGGCTACCACCACTACAAACACACAGATCGTTGCAGCTTCTGATTGGTTCGCTGCTGCCCAATACCCTCTTCACACAGTAGCCAACCATTGACAAGCTCGATTTAACACAGAAATATCTTTCAAACAGCACGTCCCAAATTAGCTAATTAAAAACTGATTAAATAGTTGCTAAAAACGTCATTTCGATGCATGGCATCCAACCGCTAGCCATAACCCGTCTCTGATTGGCCGAATCATTTGTGGACGTCACTGCATGCTGAAAAGCTGATGAGTTGCCCAAGCAGATGATTGGCCAGAAACGCTTGTTGTTGATTGGCCATTAGTTTCATGCTTCTCAAACATGCACTGCTGATTGGCTAGTTACTCACCCGACCCGGAGACTCGAGGACGCTGATTGGCTTAGCGACGGCGATTTCGACAGGCCCCCGGGGGGCGCCCTTGAGGGCGGCGACGGCCTCGTCCAGCGTCGCCCCCTCCAGCACCGTGCCTGGGGGTGTAGGTGAGTGGGGGTTGTATAACTGCATTTATTGATGGCTCCTATTAAGAACTCGAGCCTTGGAAAAACACCCTTTGGGAATGAATTACTTAGTGATAGGTTTGCACAAACATGTGTTACAGAGAGTGAAATGTGATTAAAGGTCATCAATAGGCCCACATCTGTGGTTCAAGGTCACGCGACTGTGGCCCAGGATCAAGCGGTTGCTATGGACCAGTAAATGTACTAATAATGTTCATAAGGCAACAATATTGTCCTTAATGTAGGTACCAATATTCTTCATAACGTACCAAAATTTTCCATGACGTACCTATAATGTCCCTACTGTACCAATAACGTCCAATAGTCTCCATAAAATACCAATATTCCCTATAACGTACCAATAATGTCCATAACTTACCAATAGTCTCCATAAAATACCAATATTCCCTATAACGTACCAATAATGTCCATAACTTACCAATATTTTCCATAACGTACCAATAACGTCCATAACGTACCAATTATCTCAATAACGTACCAATATTGTCGCTGACGTACCAATAGTCTCAATAACGTACCAATATTGTTCCTAAAGTACCAATATTCTCTATATTCCGTAGTGTAACAATAATCCCCATAACGTACCATTAACGGCCACCAGACGGTCCCCGGGGATGAGGCGGCCGTCCTTCTCCGCGACGCCCCCGGGCACCAGCGACCGTATCACGATCACCGTCTCCTGGGGGTTCAGGGGGTCCTGCGAGGCCGGACATGTTAATATTAAGAATTTGTTAATATTTGACTGACATTAAATTTATATTTCATTAATGTTTTGACTTTTCATTCTTAAAATATCACTAGACGGTTCTGTTGTTCCGGTCTTCCAGTGTCTTGATAAGATACAATTTCTATATATTCTAAGTACCCTATATATATAATATATAGTAGTTAAGAATAGTATGTCAATATATATATATAACATATAGTACCCCATCCCATCACCCAGCAGAACCTCAACCCACTCCTTGTCACTAGTACCTCATTCCATTTTTACATTTCTTCAACCCTCCTCACGGCCACAACAACCTCTTCAACAGAGCAGTACCCATACCCTTCTTCCCCCAGCAACTCGGTGTACGTGTCTTGTTGAAACGGTGTATGAGTCAGGAGATGTTTGATGATAGTTAACCTCAAATACCCTCCTCACCCCCACTATCCTTCTCCCCCAGCAACTCCTCCTCCCCGCCCCTCACCTGGTAGTCCAGGATGGAGAAGCCCAGGCCGCGGTCGCCCTTCTGCAGGAGGATGACGTTGGGCTCCGACGCCCACATGGCCAGGCCCGTCAGGGGCTCCAGGCTGCGCGACTTGGCCCGCCCCAGAGGGTGCGAGGGCGTCCCTGGGGGGCACATAAATATTCATCCTATAATATAGATCATCCTAATCCTTCCGTTAATAATATACATCACCCTAATCCTACCTAATATAGATCATCCTAATCATCTTAACCGTTCTCGATCTTCTTCTATACTCGATGCCCGCCCCAGATGGTGCGAGGGCGTCCCTGTGGGCACATATATATTCATCCTATAATATATAGGTCATCATAACTCTATAAATCATAGCCGCTCTCGCTCTCCTTCTATACTGGAAAGCCGAAAAATTCGTGAGACTTTGTACAAGAAGTTATGCTAGTTTTGCCTTTTGTGAGTCATCAAAAGCCGGTTTGGCTTGGCAAAATAGCATATCAGTGCTGCGCGAAGAAAGTGTGTTTATTATTGGACAATCCGACTCATCAGTTTTTCTGAGCATGGTATCAATAATCTTGATTCTATGCAGCAACAACAATAATATTCGCAACGTACAAATACAGAAGAAATTAGGCGTAGGCTCATTGTTGGGGCGAGTGTTGGAGGGTTAGGTTGCTGAACTGAACTATACCGATTACCAAACAAGAAAACTGACTTGTTACTTCCTGTCAAGTTAACCAAAGCCAACATAGATCACGCAGATACTAGTGCTTAACTATCAAGTTTGGCATCAGGAACGCGTCTCGTCAACCGCAGTCCAGCTAAACAATCAAGCGAATAATGTGGTTAGCTAAGTCGCTCTACGACGCTCGTCAGATCAACCCACACCGTCTACCTATTCCTAGAAGTACAAAAAAGTATTCCCAGATGTACTATAAAATATTCCCAGAAGTACTATAACATAGTCCACCTCAAACGACACTCAGTTTTCTTCGGGACATGCATGCCACACACAAGCCCAGTCTGATAAGCAGTGACGTGTTGTGCACATGTGTTGCTCTTCCGCTCGCCAGCCTTGATTTATCTTCTAGTGAAAAGTAACTTTGAGTTATAAGCAGGCGTTGATTAACTCGCATGACAACTGATTTTGTTCGAATCACTCACCCAAGAAATTCTGGATCCTCTACTGGCTTTAAGTGCTGGGAGTTGTAGAGTGAGGGTGTGCATGGTGGAAGCTGTGCGAGAGCTCCACAGCTGTACGAGCTAACGCGACTTGGAGACAAGCAAGAGAGAGAGAGCGACGCACCTGTGCTCACTACGAAGGCCGAGCCGCCACTGGGCACACTAGACTGAGTCGAAACAACTTGAGTTGCTCTGCGTGCAATGCAACGGCTAGTTTCCTCTGAACACGTCAATCATCGCAAATTTTAGTTGCGTCCACTAGTCAACGCAACTATTCGCCTCGTGTATAAGCACCTTTACCAACATCACAAGCAGAGAGCGGACGTAGCACTGATACAAACTTTGGGTGGGCCAAAGTGTGTCAAGATGACCCACACTAGAGCAACATCGCATTTTAGACAAAGCCTGGCATATTTCTGTGAGTGTGTCTCACCGGCAGACGAGGCGAGGGAGCCGTCACTCAGTCTTGGCCTTGACTCACCGGCAGACGAGGCGAGGGAGCCGTCACTCTTGGCCTTGACTCACCGGCAGACGAGGCGAGGGAGCCGTCACTCTTGGCCTTGACGAGGCGCTCGGACGAGGTGACGAGGCTCTGCAGGGACCCGCCTAGACCCTGTGGAGGGAGAGGGGATATTAGTTACGGGGGGTAGGGGGTCAGCCACGTGCTATAGGGGAACTTATGTACGTATATTATTGACTATTAGAGAAATACTATATTAATATTTAATATTATTTATAAAATAGTTATTATTATGTATTAATATATTTAAAAATTTGATATTATTTATCAATTTATTATTAAAATTATAAATATTATCGATTAGTAATGAAGTTTTATTGTATCATTATTACACTAGGGATCATTTTTGGTGTAGAAATAATTATTATTAGTTGACAATTTCTGGGGAATGGAAGGTGACCGCTGATTGGCTGTTATTTTAAGAAATAGGTACCTGTACCTACGTTGGTTGTTCGTGAAACTTCGTAGTTATTTATTCATACATTATTATCATGATGGATAAGTTAGTTAATACTGAATATAAGTTATTTTTTATTCAACTTAAGTTGAATCATTAGTAATCAATAAATAATTATTACTAAATAATTAGTAATAAATAGCAATTAGTAATAAATAATCAGTAATAAATAATTAGTAATAAATACTTAGTAATAAATAATTAATAATAAATAATTAATAATAAATAATTAGTAATAATCAGTAATAAATAATTAGAAACAAATAACAGAGATGTCACCTTAGCGTGGGAGGAGCTGGGGTCCCCCAGTGTGGGGGGCAGGTCCTCGTCCCCCTGACGCCTCCTGGCGCAGACGAGGCGCACGTCCCTGGGCAGCTCCTTGAGGATGACCACCACCTCCACGTGGTTCAGCCCCAGCAGCGTCCTCCCGTTCACCTGGGGAGGTAAGGGGGGGTCATGGGGAGGGGGCAAGACCTCCACGTGGTTCAGCCCCAGCAGCGTCCTCCCGTTCACCTGGGGAGGTAAGGGGGGGTCATGGGGAGGGGGCAAGACCTCCACGTGGTTCAGCCCCAGCAGCGTCCGCCCGTTCACCTGGGGAGGTAAGGGGGGTGTCATGGGGAGGGGGCAAGACCTCGACGTGGTTCAGCCCCAGCAGCGTCCTCCCGTTCACCTGGGGAGGTAAGGGGGTGTCATGGGGAGGGGAAAGGGGGGCATGTGGGGGCCCAGCAGCGTCCGCCCATTCACCTGGGGAGGTAAGGGGGGGTCATGGGGAGGGGGCAAGACCTCCACGTGGTTCAGCCCCAGCAGCGTCCGCCCGTTCACCTGGGGAGGTAAGGGGGTGTCATGGGGAGGGGAAAGGGGGGCATGTGGGGGCCCAGCAGCGTCCGCCCGTTCACCTGGGGAGGGGTATGGGGTGCCAAGAGGAAGGGGGAACGCACGCATATGTGGGAAGGAGCGCACGGTTATGAGGGGCATGGATAGCGAGGGCATGTCGAGGGGGCGACGGTGTTGAAACCGTTTCAGCAAGACACGACGTTTCAACTGACAATTAAATGCAAATAAAACGTATTTTTCCCAGAAAATTCACCAGTTGAGAGAATCACATTTAAATTATATACAACTAATAGAAAAATCAATAACTATTGTATTGTAAAATTCATATTAGAGCTGTAAAATCCATCGCTAGGGCACAAGATCGTTGAGAGCTTAGGGTAGGACCTGACTCCCTGACTCACAGCCTCCCAGACCTGACTCCCTGCCTCACAGCCACCCAGCCCTGACTCCCTGCTTCACAGCCACCCCGCTCCTCCCCACCTCGAGCAGCTCATCCCCCAGCACCCCGCTCCTCCCCTACCTCGAGCAGCTCATCCCCACTGCGCAGCACGCCGCTCCTCCCCACGGGGCCCTGGGGGAGGACGGAGCGGATGTAGTGGTGGGGGCGCACCTCCCTCCCCCCCTCCACGTCCACCGTCCCCTCCAGCGACACCCCCAACCCCCCGCCCCACTCGAACTTGCTCAGCTGGCACACCTGCAGAGTGGGGGATGAGTGGGACACTGCACACCGAGTGGGATATGTTGAGTGAAATATAACGAGTAAGAGTGGGGGGTGAGTGGTGTGTTGGTGAGTTACTGATTTAATAATAAATAATTTACAATAATTTATTGTTTAATTATTAATAATTTATTATTTTATTCAATTATAAAAATTATGATTATAATAATAAATTAATAAATAGTGGTGAAACAAATAGTGTTGAATATCTTCATTAAATTCGAAACATCCACGAACAATCGGCGATCATACCGATATAAATCACTCGTATACCTAATTTTAATTCACAATCACTTATTGTTTAATTATTATACATTTATAATTCTATTTATTCATAACAATTGTATTTATTTAAATTTACAATCCTTGATTGTATAATTATTATAATTATCACAAAGCCAGCTCTCGCTGGGGGTGGGGCCATCTTTTATACATATATATTCACACTCCTTTAGAATTTTATTATCAATTTATTAACTGTTTTAAAAAAGCTCGGTGGGCCCCCTTACGACAATGTCCATGTCGGGCCCCATGACGCGGGCCCACTTGCTGACGATGGCGGCCTCGACGGCGGGGGACAGGGGGCCAGAGAAGTCCCCCTCCCCCACGGGGGGGAAGTCCCCAGGGAGTGGGGGGTAGTCCCCCTCAGTGGGGGGGAGGGGGGCGGCGTTGAGACGGTTCTTGCGCGCCACGTCTGCGTCGGTGGAGGACTCGTCCTGCGTCACCCCCGCCAGGGGGAGGCTGGGGGGCGGCCCGTACCTGCGGGGGAGAGGGCTATATAAATAAGGAATACATGTATATAAGATATATAAGGGAAGATAGACGAACTAATTAAATTGAGTCGATGACTTATTACTCGAATATTGCTCAGTTGCTGGTAGTTAAGCAGCGCTGTTGAAAAACAAAGCTTTATGTGCGTCTTTTTTTAAACACCTACAAATTCCTAGGTTCTTCTCGTTAGTAGTCACAAGGAAAGCTATACGATTACTATTATTTATTTATTATTATTGTTATATACAGGGGTTAGACAAAATAAAGGAAACCTCTGAGATCCACAAAATTCTCGGGCCATTTTTAACAATTCCAGCTAAAAGTGTGACATTATCATAGTGAAACATGGCGTTCCCCTCCAGAAACAGTGGTTGAACCACTATATGATCTTGGTCCTCCAAAATTTCTAAATATTCACGGCTGTTCAATGAAGAAATATTCTTCATGAAGAGAAACCATCGGTCTCCCGGATTTGCAAGAAATATCACCCCGCCATGTTTTACGGTTGGGAGGAGGCAGGCGGGATTAAAATGTTAATATGAATTTCTAATTTCCATTAAATTGTTTCTAATTTTAATTTGAATAATTTTTTATTTTAAAATGAATAAAAAACTTAAACGGGATTAAACGACTCTTTTGGCTGCCGCCAAACGTAAACTCGGTCAGAGGTTAGGAATAAGGTAAACGATGATTTGTTAGAGAAAATCACATTTTTTCACAGCTCGAGGGACCAATTCTGGAGCTTTTACACCACTCTAAACGCTTAGAAGCATTGTTATTAGAATACAGAGATTTTTTAATTGCAACTCTTCCATAGAATTCAGATCTGTGCAGCTTTCGGGGGACAGTCTTCTTGGAAACTGGGTTCTGTAGGTGTCCACTGAGGTCTGTAGGTGTCCACTGAGGTCTGTAGGTGTCCACTGAGGTCTGTAGGTGTCCACTGAGGTCTGTAGGTGTCCACTGATGTCTGTAGGTGTCCACTGAGGTCTGCAGTAATTTTAACAGCCGCGGTCTTTCGATTATCCCTCGCAATTCTATTTAGGTACCGACGGTCTCTCTCAGACTACATCGACTTTCGGCCAGACCTGCTCTTTGCTGAGGACTTTTTCCTCCAGCGTTTCGTCAGCGTTAATTAAGAGTCCCCTTCCCACGTAGCGCAATTGCTCCTTCAGAATCTCCATCATTGTCCCTTAAAAGTCCTCCTTTTGAACCATAAGAGTCCCCCAATTATTAGCCCTTATGTACATTAATGTCCCAGACCTTATTTCTTCCAAATCCCTAATAAAATTCAACATATTCTCAGGACACACTTAACATTTCGAGCGAGTGTAGCGACTCTTGAGCAGAAGCCTGGTCGATCCCCAAATTTTGATCAAGGGAGAGACTTCCCTCAGGGTCAACAGAAAGAACCTCCCCCCATACATATATGGGGGGAGGGTATATAGAACCAGAACCCCCCCCATATATAGAATACCAGTATATATATATATTCTGTGTTCATATAGAACCCCCCAACAGAACCCAGGTAGGGCCCCCAAAACTCACGGTATGTAGGGTGCGGTGTGGGTGACGTGGCCCAGAGCTGTCCTCAGGGCCTCCTCCGTCGCGGGGTCGTCCTCCCCCTGCAACACACCTCATTATTACTCCCCAGGTTCCCCCAGATAACAAGCACCCAGAGTTATTCTAAGCTCACCAACCCAAAGTTGTGCTGCAAGCACCACCTCTGACGGCTACCTAAAGTGATACCGAGAAATGAACTGAGCTTCCCGAGGCTCGAACCCGCGACTGGCTCCTCTCATCTCAGTGCCGCTACCACTGCGCTACAGCAGCGCTACAGTTACACTACCACTGCGCTACAGCAGCGCTACAGTTACACTACCACTGCGCTACAGTGGTGCTACAGTTACACTACCACTGCGCTACAGCAGCGCTACAGTTACACTACCACTGCGCTACAGCAGCGCTACAGTTACACTACCACTGCGCTACAGCAGCGCTACAGTTACACTACCACTGCGCTACAGCAGCGCTACAGTTACACTACCACTGCGCTACAGCAGCGCTACAGTTACACTACCACTGCGCTACAGCAGCGCTACAGTTACACTACCACTGCGCTACAGCAGCGCTACAGTTACACTACCACTGCGCTACAGCAGCGCTACAGTTACACTACCACTGCGCTACAGCAGCGCTACAGTTACACTACCACTGCGCTACAGCAGCGCTACAGTTACACTACCACTGCGCTACAGCAGCGCTACAGTTACACTACCACTGCGCTACAGCAGCGCTACAGTTACACTACCACTGCGCTACAGCAGCGCTACAGTTACACTACCACTGCGCTACAGCAGCGCTACAGTTACACTACCACTGCGCTACAGCAGCGCTACAGTTACACTACCACTGCGCTACAGCAGCGCTACAGTTACACTACCACTGCGCTACAGCAGCGCTACAGTTACACTACCACTGCGCTACAGCAGCGCTACAGTTACACTACCACTGCGCTACAGCAGCGCTACAGTTACACTACCACTGCGCTACAGCAGCGCTACAGTTACACTACCACTGCGCTACAGCAGCGCTACAGTTACACTACCACTGCGCTACAGCAGCGCTACAGTTACACTACCACTGCGCTACAGCAGCGCTACAGTTACACTACCACTGCGCTACAGCAGCGCTACAGTTACACTACCACTGCGCTACAGCAGCGCTACAGTTACACTACCACTGCGCTACAGCAGCGCTACAGTTACACTACCACTGCGCTACAGCAGCGCTACAGTTACACTACCACTGCGCTACAGCAGCGCTACAGTTACACTACCACTGCGCTACAGCAGCGCTACAGTTACACTACCACTGCGCTACAGCAGCGCTACAGTTACACTACCACTGCGCTACAGCAGCGCTACAGTTACACTACCACTGCGCTACAGCAGCGCTACAGTTACACTACCACTGCGCTACAGCAGCGCTACAGTTACACTACCACTGCGCTACAGCAGCGCTACAGTTACACTACCACTGCGCTACAGCAGCGCTACAGTTACACTACCACTGCGCTACAGCAGCGCTACAGTTACACTACCACTGCGCTACAGCAGCGCTACAGTTACACTACCACTGCGCTACAGCAGCGCTACAGTTACACTACCACTGCGCTACANGGCTGTTGGGGGTGCTGGGGGTACCTGGATGAGTCTGTAGGGGGGGTTGGGGGTGCTGGGGGTGGTGCGCAGCTCGCTGTTGGCGATCGCCTGCTGCAGCTGCTCGTACTTGGGCCCCCGCAGGTACCTGGGGGACGGGGGGCATCAGTGGGGGTGAAGGTATATAAAAAATTAAAAACTTTTAATTATAAAATTAGCATAACCTGGATCGTGTCGGGATATTACCTGCAACTAAAAATTTCGTCTATGTGAGAGGATAGTAAGACATAGTAAACTGGAAAGGAATGGAGTCCACAAATTTATACTGTGTATTGAAATTTTGTATAAATGAATTAAATTTAAAATGCGTAGAATTGTTTTAGTTTCCTATTTTGAGACGTGACTTCAAATCGAGTTCAATTTTTCAGGTAACATGTGGGCCCTAAAAAATCTTCATCCAAATAGCACACATTTGCTGAATAATTAATTTCTAACGGCACCCGTCGCCCTCAGCACCCGTTACCTGGCCAGCTTCAGCGCCACCACAGCACCCGTCGCCCTCAGCACCCGTTACCTGGCCAGCCTCAGCGCCACCACAGCACCCGTCGCCCCCAGCACCCGTTACCTGGCCAGCCTCAGCGCCACCACAGCACCCGTCGCCCTCAGCACCCGTTACCTGGCCAGCCTCAGCGCCACCACAGCACCCGTCGCCCTCAGCACCCGTTACCTGGCCAGCCTCAGCGCCACCACAGCACCCGTC